AAGCTCACAGTGAGGGTAAGAAAGGCTGGTTAGCATTCAGTCTTGTTGACTTGCAAAGAACAACAAAGATTCTGCCTGCGCTGTTCTTACTCCTTCAGGGATGGAAGTCCAAGGGGCACTATGACTTCTGTAGAGCATGTCTGAGTATCCCATGTTTCCTAGGGACGGGAACACTGCTTGAAGATGCTGGAAGAAGCTTTGAGCACCAATCAAAAGGTTCCAGCAGCAGGAGGAAAAGGGTATGAGAGAAAAGGGGCAGCATATCGAGTCCCTTAACACAGGGTCTACTCTTCCCTGAGCAACACCACCACGCTCAGGGAATACCTTTTTAAGTTATTTGGTCCAAGGACATAGTTTCACTTAACAGCATTCTTCTTGTAGTGATGTTCAGGATCAGATATGAGAATTCCCATGTCCGATTCTGCTAAATCAGCTTGATCCTAGGAGTTGCAATTCTTCCCTGCCCCACAAGATGGGGATAGTGTGCTTCTCAAACTGAGCAACTGGAGGACTTTGATTTAAAACTGTTTTCAGTTCCCCAGCAATTCACCGCTGCATCCCTTAGGACTTAATTGGAAGTTATTACTTATTCTTGCACCAGAGGGAGTGAATTTTGTACTTTCTTGGGAGATGCTTAAGCAATAGTGCTCCCTTTGCAGATATAGAAGTGTGTCTTGCCAGAAATCACCCCACCTTGTGTTACAGGTCAGACCCTCGTGCCTGTGCTGTGAAGCTGGAGTATGAAGCTTTCCAAACCAGTAAAATGGCTAACTCGTACAAGGCAACTGTGCTAAAGAAGGTAGGGCCATACGTCTGCTGCTGTTCCCTTGAATGTGCTGTGGCCTCAGCTTGAGGGGAAATAGGGTAGAGTTTGTGTGGGAAAGATGAAGGAAAAGCTCTGCTTTGCCTTGGATGTCTTCCAAATCTTTCTTCTTGGTTTTGTTTCCAGGAGGGCCCAGAATCATGTTGGTTTCACATCTTTGTTGGCTTTGCAGGCTTTGGAAACCTACATACCAGTGCAGGCTTATCCAAATATCCTCTAGGTCTAGCAATAAAGGGAATGGGGAGTCCCTCAGACTGTCACTGACAATAGAGAAGCCTTGGGTTAGGTTAGCTGGTTGCAATAAGTCTCTCTGAAGATGTTTCTGTTCTTGAGATAGATGTCTCTCCAGGGGAGACATATGTTTTGCCACTATGGCTTTTAGTGTGTACAGAG